GATGTGATGTCAATAATATGCTAATTATTGATATGGAAGGATAATTATTATTAATTGATTTTTGTCATATTTTTTTTTGCGTAAGCAGATAAGCAATAAAATACATTTTATTCAACATAGCCTCACTTGTAGGCCCATTTTAAAATAATTCATAACGGATAATTTATTTATCAGTAAAAATATTCTAAGAAATGATAAAGATTCATACAAGATACGAGAGATTAATTATCTTAAATTAGACACATTTTTAAATAATGGGTTTAGTTAATTTTTTAAAAAGCGATATAAGTTACATTTGAATGCGCATGCGAATATCGCATATTTTCTCCGGAATAGCAAAAATGTTTTCCATGATAGGTGTGGCATAAAAATTAAAATACCTATAGAAAAAAAATAATTAAGGTGGCCATCTTACAAACAACAGGGTGTGACCATCTAATTTTATAGCGTTGGTTATATGCCCAAGATACGAAAAATCAATAATATTTATAAATAAATATATGGAAATGTAGGATATACCAATTTTTCGGCACAATGATCTGAATCTTAAAAAAATAAAAAAAGCCCATGTGATATGGTAGAAGGTATTTAAAATTCGTAAAGAATAGTATGTATTATCTATCACTATCATCATCACATCAACTAATTAAACCTATAGTTTTAATATTAAAGACAAAAGTTTAAGTTAAATAAATAACACTTACTAATTACTATATATATCACCCAGGTCAGATTAAATGAGTTTTAAATAATTCTTTTTTTAAAAAAATTAATGATTCAATGACAAATCAATATTATTTTTTTTTAAAAAAGTGCATATTATACTTTATTTAAATAGTTTTTTTTTATAACTCAAACTCGAGAGATTGAATTAGCATAATTATTCTGATCAGTAATAACTGTCAACTTTCCAACTTCGCAGTTCATCATTCACAATAAGAAATAGTTTTTTAACGATAATAATTAACTATTTTATAAACATATAGCATATTAATATGTATTGTAATTGTGTAATGTAGCATAATGGTGTGTTGAAATATTCGCGATGATATGAATAATCAGAAAAGGATGTAGCATAACCTCAGTTACTCATATTTTATTAATCGTCAGGTAAAAAAGAAGAGTATTTTGAACCTATCATCTACCACGGAAGGCAATTCTCCCTTTTAAAATTTTAAAATCATACACCTAATCAATATTATATTTTTTCGTGATATATTTTTGTACACCATTGCAATGTAATCATATTTTCTAGTGTTATGTAATTGATTACATGTAATTTTACCTTTTTTGAAGAATAATAACTGTTACATTTTAAAAACGGTAACTTTAATGTAGTGTTGTTAAACGGTCCAATTTAGTCGATTTTTAAAAACGGCTGGATTAAGATTTTAGCCAAAATAATTATTTAAGTCTGAAGATTTATCTCAGAGGTGGCAGAAAAATTTGAACCTCTATTTGCCAAATCAATAATATTTTATCTAAAATTTTAATCGGGCCGTTTTAAAAAATCGACCCGAATTGGCTACATTAATTTAATGTAACTAGTTATATTAAAAAAATTATTTTAATATATATCTTTATAAATGTGTTAATTCTTTTTTAAATAAAAATTGAAAATAAATTATATTGAAAATCAAATTTTATGATATATTTATATATATTGTTTATAAACAGCTTCGCAATATAATTTGAGTTTAAAAAAATATATATTAATTTTTGATTCAAATTAATCAAACTTAAATTAAATTACCAGTAAGAATTTTAATAAAATAATAATAGTTTCTAAAGATGGTTCTTAATTTGCTAAACCCATACGACAGCAATAAATTCAGTTAGTAGACGTTCTATTGCTAGGGCCCGAATACCAAACATCCTGGAGACTACTAATTTTCAGATGATACTTAAGGCCAGATGATTCAACTTTTGTACCTTTATTTTTTTCTTAATTTGGGACTAAAAAATGAAAATTCTAATCCGGTTGATATAGCCAGAACAGAAAAAAATTAAAAATTCGAAATTAACAAATTATATTTTTCTTATCAATCGTTATTCCTTCCCTTGGACATATGTCAAGCGGAACTTAAAAGTTTTTAAAAAATATAGGCGGTAAAATAAGAGACCTTACATCAGAATCCAAGGAATTTTATTTTTTACAATAAAATGTACATAAATTACTATTTAATATAATTAATTATTAGTATGTGGAACTTGTAGTTTCAAATCCGTTTTTATAAAATGAGTGCTTTTTATTTTAATTAAATTATAGTTTATGATTGGAATGTGGTTATATATTATGAAATATTACATTATGAAATTATATTATATTTTAAATAGAATAAGTATATCAAAAAAAATATAATAATTTTTTTATTCTTAAAGCTGCTGCATTAAAGTGCGAACAAATTGAGCGATTGCGCTCTGTATATTTTTAATTTAAAAAAAAATCCTTAAAGTATCCCTTGTTTAAATTTAGGGGGGATTTTTAATTTTATATTTAAAAAAATGTAGTATTGGTTTGGAACGAAAAAAAAAATCTAGCCTTAATTTATAGAAAATTATTTAAAAAGCAAACCAGTTTGCGTTTTTTTAAATGGTTTCTAGCGCCAAACGGTATAATTTGCACGATACTATCAAAATGCATTATTGGGACTGCAGAAGGCTTGGATGAAGCCTTGTAGTTGCAATGTTAAAATAAGGGGAATTCCTCCAGATTATAAGCTTTAGTCTTTCAAACTTTTCCCCTTCCCTTAGAGTCCAATGGAATGACAAATCTCTTTTCTTTAGAGTCCAAGATGTTGGTTTTAAATTATGTCTTGACAGGGAGCGAACGGTATAATAACTTACTGCGTCTCTGAGTCCAGGTCTATAACCCTTTGAGTAACCGCTTTTACTCAAAAATAAAGTTCGATGTTACGCGTTTTTTTAAAATATATTGATATTTTTGATTTATATATAAAAGGGTTGGTTATCATCTTAAAAATTAACAATGTTTATGCTCACATTCTCACGTATAGTCCACTAGTATCCTTTATAATTTTAAACCTTTTGATTTCAGGTCTTATAATTCTTAAAATATGCAATGTTTCTTAGTTAAAGTTCCAGGGGTCTGCAAATATGCTATTTTTTTTAAACATTGGGAGAGCGAGTTAAAGCTAATTTTTATAAATGAAAGATAAGACGAGTAAATTTGATACATTTTTCGAGAAAAATGAGCAGAAAGCCTAGTTATATCTATCAAAAATTATTTATTATATTTCCTATTGCATATTTTATATGTTTAAGTAAAAATATATAAAAATTTTGAGCTAATACAACCAATCAAATAATTTTTAATTTAAATGCCATGCGAATTAAGCTAATCATACACTAAAGCGTTCTAGTGCTTAATGTTATATGTTAGCAAGTCAAAAAAGCGTAAAATATCGCTTTATACCAAAATTTAAATATTATGAAGGTATGTACATTAAAAAATTTTATCGTCTGCAAATAGTTATTAACTCTGAATAACTATTATTTTAAAGTAATTTTTATATAATGCATTTAAAAATACCCCGTATAATTTATAAATATTAACTCTATACATTCATAGTTTTGATTTATTTATATATATTATAATGATTATCAAACGTTCAATTTCTCAAACGATAGAACTCCCTGGTAAGACTTTAGCCTTACCCTGCATTTACAGTTAATGTGAGTTTGCAGCGAATGCAGGGTTATACTATTATTATATGCTATAATATATTGTTTGTAAAGGTATAAAATAAATTTTTGTAAAAACGGGAACCAAAGCAGCATTTATGTGAAATATGTTTAAAACCCATATAAAAAATAAGTATTGAATCTGGTTATTATTTTCCTCAAAAGGAAAAATAAAATTTTAAAAATGGGCCTATGCATTTTAAGAAAATTAAATTACACAAAATAAAAATTCTTTTTTTTAATTTTAAATATTTACATTTTCACAACAAAAAAAATTATTTAAGAAATTTCGATTATGGCACATATTTTAGAAAATTATTTGTAAAAATTGTGAAAAGAAAAAATTTCCATAAAGGATAAAATGTAGAACATTGTATTGTATAAATATTTTTGAAAATAAATAGTGGAAACAATTAGTGATATAGCTATGTAATTAACATTATTTTGTTCATAATTTGCAATTTTTTTTATCACTCTAGTACACTATGCAAAATTTTCTAATTCAAAATAACTGTAAAGTACAAAATAATAGGTGCAATAATCTTTTTTTATATATATACATTTTATATAAAAAGTTTGTAAATATATAAAATATAATAAATTTTAAACATTTTTATGGACAATTACATTACAAAACCAAATAAAATAAATTTATTTAAAAATTGATTGAATAAATTAAGTAATATAAAATAATGTTAAATTATCAATCAATATTATAATTCATAATATCAAACAAAATTAAAATATACTTTAAGGCTTAGACCAAAAGAGATAATATTTGGTTAACCAAGAGGGAAATTTTTGGTTAACCAAGAGCAAAATTTTTGGTTAACCAAGAGGAATACAAAACTACATTTTTGAAAAAACTGAAAGCAAAAAAAATAAAACCAAGATGCTAAATTAATTAAATAAATTAAGTATATAAAATCATATTGTTTGCCTAGAATAAATTAGTATATTTAATATTACTTTTTTAGATTAAACTAAAAATGGAAGGAAAAATAAACAAGTCATTTTTGAAAAACCAAAATGCAAATGTTTTGGTTTTTTCTTTAATGAATAAATTTTGGTCTTAATATAAGTGATATTTGTTAATTTAGTTAATTAAATTAAGATTTCAATAAAATTAATATTTGTTATTTATAGTTAAGTCAAGATATTAACCTTTATATATATACATATTAAGCTACTTAATAAATATTTATTCTTATATAAAATCTACTTTTCAATGTATTTTTATTACTTATTAGTAAATATCTGGTACACTTATTCAAATAAAGCTATCTTAATATTACTTCAATAGAGAGCATATTGTTTTCAGGCATCTGAATTTTTATTTGTATATTTGAACATAATTATATAATATTATGCTCCTATACTAAAAGAAATTAAAATTCCTTATATTGATTTTTTTTTTATAATATTGGGTTTTTAAAAAATGTGTTTTTATCTTATATTTCCTCTAAAAAAACATAAACTATTAACAATTCAACTCCTTTCGGATATAATTTACAATAAATATTCTATTCCATAATATTAGTATATTTATTTGTGTAACGTAATTCAAGTGTAAGGTAAATTATTTATTGGTTTAATTTATATCTTATGTACTTTTAGTTTAACAACATTCACTATCACAATATTACCATGGTATAGCTGATTTATGTAGTGGGGAAATGGGGGTAGGGGATTTTTTTACCCCCACAAAATGTTGTGCAATTGCATTTACTGAAATTGGCAGGTTAAAAAATTTATAACTGCGCAGGCAGGCGGGTTAATAATATTTTTAAGAAACAGGTGGGTCTTTCATAATATTAAATGTTTTATAAGTTTAAATAAAAATATAGAACTAAAAACATCAAAAATTTAATGAAATACAAGATTAACTCTATGTAAACTAGAACATGCTATGGAAAAAAGTTATTAGTTATTTAATTATATATATGTTTTCGATGATCAACATGACAACATGACTTTCATTTTATTTACACTACCAGCATAAGCATAAATATAATTTACTAATTTAACATAGACATATAAGATTAAAATTAGTCTTTCCCCTGCTATAAAATAATTGAATATATGTGCAATTCTTGGGTATAAGCCCTCTCTTTCCCCAACTCTTCTTATCTCGCCCTTTAGACGTTTAAATGACAATTATTTCGACCATTGTGTTTACAAGTATGCTCGGCTTGCCCACAAACTGAAGATGGCTCCCCATTTTTAATTTTTCACCCAACTTAACTACATATTCCAGTTTGATGAAAATGAGGAATGCCAAGCATAACTCTGTTAAAACTTTAAGAAAAGAGGTCAAAGCGCTCTTGTCGTATCACATAAATAATATACATTCCCCAATTTAAACTTTGGAGGATAGGTAAACCCATTTTTTTAAATAGATGGGTAAAAGGCAAAATTTTTTTAAACAATTGACTAAGGGGGCATTGTTTTTAAAACAATAGGTAAGCGGGTAAAAAAATTATAAAATAATGGGCAAGATGGTCAAAATCCAATTATTGCAGACCTCAAACATGTACCACCCCACAGCGTCTACGTGAGCTGGGTATGTAGGAAACGGTTTGCTTCCAATTTTTTAAAGGAGGGTAGGGGGTAAAATTAGAGACGGACTAGAGGAAAGCTGAATTTATTGAGGGGTTTTCTATAAAAAATTTTAATGAAATAGGGCAAAATATATTGTTGTGAAATATATTTTTTATATAACTATTATAATGATATAATTATAGTGCTAAACAATGCCCAAATTTATTTATTGTATACTATCATAGTCTTTATTTTTCAAATAAAACTTATTTATGGATAATTTTCTGTTATCTTTTCAAATGTAATTTTAAAGGATTGGACATTCTATTAGCATGCTTATATTCATGTCGAACAATATGCTATAATAATGCATTTCATACAGTAAATAAGGGGGTTTTTAAATTTATGTTCTTGTAATAATGCATTTCACTCAGTAAATAAGGTTTTTAATTATTTATGTTCTAGATAATAACTCTTATACATTTACTTTTTTTAGAGTTGGTAATTGAGTATTGAAAATTTTAAAATATTTGAAGGGAGTGTCATTATAATTAAACGCGTAATTCAAAATGTGAGAATATCGCCGCCGGCGGCAATTTTTTTAGCGTGATAGGTAGGTTTTTGAGTGGGGTTTATATCCTATGAATATCCTCTCATGTAGACGCTGCCACCCTGGAAAAAATTTATAATGAAATATTTTAGAAATTAGAATTTTGAAAAATAATCGGGATTTTGAGAAATATATAAACTGGTCAGGTCAATATTAATTCTTTATTTACCCGAATTAAATATGATTTCAATAAATTATAGAGCTATTTGTTGACCGCTTGAATTTATATATTTTTCTCGGAGACTTTTATAATTTTGCTCACTTCTCTCTGAATTTTATATTAGATTCTTTATGGAAAAAAGAATTGTTAAGCAGGTTATAGGTGAGTTACGTGGATGTTTGTTAAATTGAAATTTAGAAAATATATTATTTTTAAAAGCTAATATAAAATTATAAATATTTTGATATATCATTTGATATAAATATAAATATTTTGATAATAAAAATATGATTTTATTTCGTGTACTTTCTAAAGAAAATGAAAATCAATGGATCGACTATAGGGTGGCTCTCCATTACCTGAAGCGGGAGCTAGCTCCTTTTTAAAATTTAGTATCGCGAGCTCCTTTTGAGAAGGTAGGAGCAGGAGCTATCTACTTTTAAAAAGGAGCATTTACAACTCTGTTAAAATTAATTAATATTGAATTAAATTTTGTCTTTGTAACATTTTATTATATAATTGATCAGAACTACCAATTAGAAATTTTGAAGAAATTATAAAAATAATAATGAATTTATTTATCTCACAATTGTTATTCATAAACTTTCTAAACAAGAAACACATAATCAAAAATTACCAGATAAAACTAATATTATGACATGAAATAAAATTGGAAAAAATAGAAAAATGATGATACAGGATTTATATATAAAATAAATGAAACTCAAATGAAAAGCAAAGAAAAGCAATATGATTTGATTTATAATTTATTTATTTATTTATACATTTTTAATTTATAATTATTTTCTTTAATACAAAATGAACAAATAATGTATTTGACGAAGATTATGAGAATTATACAAATGATGACGTAACTAATTTTACAAAAACTTAAATTTTGTAGTTCTTTATTTTCTAAAAATGTTCTAATTCATACTCATTTATAAAATATAATATTATATATGATCGGCGTTTACATGACAGAAAATTCTTTGGGGGCAAACCTCCCTCCAAAATTTTTTCCTACCCCTCTAAAAAATATAAGGCTTTAGGCCATTATACTCATATACCCATTTACTATAGTAATCCTAAAATATTAATTAAAAATATTATAATATGAGCCATCATTTGTAAAACAAAATACTAAGCCTCTTTCAGGCATCATAATATAGGCTAGAAGACATTCGTTGGTGATAATCAACAAGTTATAACCTTAATCTAAAAATTTCACGAGCATATATAAATTTAAACTGTTTAAAATGTTAGAATGAACGATTTTTAAATTAATTAGCCATTAAAATTGGAATGAATTTCTACAATTAAAATAAGAATCCTTTTACATATTTTTATCTATAATCTGCAAATAGTGTTATTACTCTACCTAGTGTTGTTAACGATTTGGGTCGATTTTTAAAAACGACCCAATTAATTGCTTGTAAATTTTGCTCAAGGAAAGCAGAAAAGGTCTGACCTCTTACTAAATATCGAGGCTTACATAATATTTTTTGGCTAAAATCTTAATCGAGTCGTTTTTTAAAATCGAACCGTTAACAACTCTTACCCTACCCTCAAAATTGGAGACAAAAGGCTCTTATATGCTTCTCATGCAGACGCTGATGAAAATCTTTCTTTAGACAATATTTAATTAAAACTAGGTTATAAAAACTCATTTGCTATTTGAATATTTATCAATTAACTTATATTAATTATATAATTACACATAATTTAATTTAATTTTTAAAAATTAGCTTAGTGTTTTAAAACATTTTTAGTTACAATTAGTGTACCCGTGTTTAGTTCTGGGAAATCTGGAAATAACTCCATCAAAACCAGGGTTCTAGAACCAATGTAAACGCGTATCCTCAAGATCCAAGATCATAACATTTTTTGAACCCGTGCCGAAATCTAAAAACTTTTACTACACCCGAACTCTTTTTCCCCTAGCGTCTAGGAAAAAAATAGAGGGAATGCGCCTATACCCTTTGTCCCAATCTCATAAAATATTTTTATTCGGCTCCCTTTAAGAGCCTACCTACTTAAATGTGATATGGTAGCAAATGTTTCATATCCCCCCCCCCCGTTTATATAACCACTCTTTCCCCATAATGCGGGTCTAAAGTTTGTTGGGATGTTTTTTTGTAAAAAAATTATAGAGGTCGCCTAATGGGGCATGGAGTAAAAATAGTTTAGGGGTTAGGGAGTAAATCTAGAAGTGATGCACTCATGAAGATGCTGAGCGGTTAAAAAGTATAGCTGACATTTAAAAAAGAAGTACGGCTAATATCAAGATTTATTGAATTGGTTATTACCCATGAACAATATGGATATATATCTATGCAATAAGGAAATATCCTATGAATTACTCAAATTTTGTAATATCGTCTAAAATAAATTAAATATGCTCTCTATAAATTTTAAATTATTAAATTACCCCATAATGTATTGTATCATAGAAAAATGATATAATACTACAATATAAAATTTTAATTTGGTTATATATTATCTAGAATGTCATAATAAATCAAATATAATAAAGTTTTATTTACATATTTGCTATAATGAAATTTAAAAGAAAAACTTTTACATTTTTTATTCAATAATATAACAGGCGCATCAAAACTAGCATGTTGATTGATCAATCTATATTTGTTTTACACTGAAAGTCCTATATATTATAGGCACTACAACAAAGGATATATTATTGCCCGCTCACTAGTCATATCCAAAATTGTCATCGCTATTCCCTTTCCTTAAAGAACCTCTGCCTTTTGAACCAGATCGATTGCGAGATGCACCCCGATTATCCTTTAAATTTTTGCTCTTTCTTCTAGGTTTGTTATCGGGCTTACTCGTAGAACCCCTTTTACTCATAGAAGCTCTTTTATTTTTAGATTTAGAGGAACCTCTATTTTTCCCGTATTTTTGGGATTTTCCTCCAGGTGGTGGTGTATCGGACATAGATCTTAATAGAAGATCTTCTTCACCAAGCCTTGACTTTTTTTTATCAAATATTTCAAAATGTAACCATA